GCTCAGTCGGGCTCTGACTTTGGCTCAGGTCATGATCTCACGGTCTGTGAGTTCGAGCCCTGCATTGGGCTCTGTGCTGACAGCTCAGAGACTGGAGCCTGCTTTGCATTCTGTCTCTCTCTCTCTGCCCCTCCCCCGTTCATGCTCTGTCTCTGTCTCAAAAATAAACATTAAAAAAAAAATTAAAGTCTATAAATTATGACCCCGAGTCCAAAATAATATTCAGTGCAGTCTGCTTAAGAAACAGGAAAGAGTCAAAGGCATTTTATGAAGATTTATATTCAAAGTGGTTTTTATAAGTATGAACACTAAAAAGGCCAAACTCTTAGCTCTTTGAAAACATTAGTTATTCATGATCATTACTAAGCTTTCCATAAAGTTCTTATCTTCCTATGTAAGATAACATATCCCGAGTGCCAAATACTAGGTTTTGGTAAGCAGTGTTACAAAGGAAGAACAAGTGAGTACACTGTGGCTGAGCCAGTTCTAGAAATTGCACAATTTGAAGGATACTGAATGCACACCTAAGAACTACATGCAGCAGTATTAGTATTTCAAGCAGTATCTAACCTTATGCGTATACCCCCCTCCACCCCCAAAAAATCATTCAACAAAGGGGAAATTATGAAAGTGATTCTGGAATAACTCAGTGTCTGGTATAATGGCTATGAACACCATTTTTAAAAAACTGAACTTTCAAAATTAGAGCTGTCACATTATTCAGAAACCACAGTTATAAAGACAATATTTTAAAAACCCCGACCTATTTATGTCATAATAAGAACTATAATATTCACTTAACCAAAGCTTAATCTAAATGTGTCTCAGATGCTACAAAACTTGTGAGTTAAGACTACTGGCTGTGTTTACTGCAGGGTTCACTTAAGGCAATAAAATTTGTGAGTCTACTTACTGTTTTTCAGGGTGAAGAAAGAAATCGTAGTTAGTATACAAAAAACATGGAAAGAAAGAAGTTTTTGTAACAATTTATTTCCCAGAATGATCAGTAAGTGCAGGAAAAATTCAAATACTATTCCAGAAAATTTTACATTGTAATTTGATAGATTTACAAACAAAACCAAAACCCCCAATTACCCAGCCACAAAGAAATACCCACAATATACAACACTTTAATTTTTTAAAAAAATCTTCATTATTCCCACACTACCTTCCTAGTCTGTTTTAAAATGTGCTTCCAGTCCAGAACGCTAAGGTTTAATGACCACACACTTGAATACTGGGCACTACCTACGGTCACATTAGGTGAAGCATAATACTTCGAGTACCAGGAAAGTTAAATGATAAAAGAGGAGTAATTACAAAACAACGCTGCTACCAGTGCACAGGACCATGATTAGCTTCTAAGTTGAAAATGTAATAGTTTTCTTTAAAATATGTAGCATTCTGATTTCAATCCGTAATGAAATCGTAAACAGCCAGTTTATTAGTCAAAGAAAACATGAATAAAAAATAACAGCTACATTCTAGTAGCTATGAACTTACTGAGCAAAAGGAGGCAGTTCTTCTGAACGAGAAGGCGCTTGGTCACATCCCCAGATGTCAGTGAAAGATATGGACAGTTCATCTCCCCTAGTAGCCCACTCACCTCAAGCTGGAATTCTTCAGCTTCACTCGGGCCTTTTAAGAATTAAGATAACCTTGTTTAATAAAAATTGTTTTTCTTATTAGCATAAAAGTTATATATGTAAGTTGAAAGTTTTAACAGGATATTCCTAACACAAGTTACTTTGACTTCTAAATCCTTCCTTTCTCACACCACTGCCAACTTCTGTTCTTGAGAAGTTTTCATTAGGTTATTCCCTTATTGGAGAATCTTTAATGGTTTCCTAATTTCTACCTCACCTAATCTAATTATCTGTCTGCCCTTAAAGATTCTTCTTCACGGCTTCTCCACTTTACCTTCCCTGCAAACTGCTATGTAGTAGTACCTATGACATATATATAGTAGTTACCCTCTACCTCCACAAATATTCCATTTGTGCCACGCCAGTCTCCTCACTGTCGAAGGAACAGGCAGACTCATTTCCACGTCTGTGCCTTCATTTAAGTTATTCCCTGCGATTGATATGCCCTCTATGTGCTTCTCATCTATCAAACCTCACCTGCCCATCAAAGCCCAGTGGTCTTGGTCCTTGATAGAACCTTCCCCAAGTGCTGCTGCGCTCACTGATTTCCTCCTGCTGTGAACCATAAAGTGAAGCACTGAATTACTGTACTAACCTCCAGTGGTTCTATTTGTGCCTAACATTCCCAATGAGATTAAATCTGAAGTTAGCAAACATGACTTGTAATTCTGTATTCCCATAACATGTTAAGTACAGAGTTTATCTCGTGAACCAAGGAAAAACAATGCCCCTTCTTCCTTACCATTCTTTCTAATGGCTTTCTATCACACAGGGGCAAAAATCAACAAACTCTGAATCACTTGATCTGAGTTCATTTTCTCATCTGTAAAATGGGAAGGCTGTATTACTGTTTTGCAAACTGTTCTGTAAACTCAAATTCCAAATAACTCCTTTACAAGGAGCCAGGGAGGAGGAGAGACTTGTGTTAAACATACTCCCTCTTAACTTCAACCAAATAAGTACATTTTACCTGTTTTGTATGTTGGCTTCTATGAGATGTTTTCTTTTGAAAGGGGCTCCAGGTTATAGTTATCATCTAGTATACATGTTTTCACAAGTTCCTATAGTCTCTGAAATGTGAGGCCAAGAGGCAGTATTAAGAGTACTGACCCCCAATCTTGACTGCTGGGGTTGAACTCTGGTGATATCATGCACTAGTTGTGTGACCTCAGACAACGCATTTAACCTAGCTGTGCTTTCTTGTTTCATGTATAAAAGAGCAATAAAACCTGCCTCAGGTTTTAAATGAGTTAACACATAGAAAATGCTTAGAACATAATGCTCAATAAATGTAAGCCATGCTATCATTACTGTTACGCTACAGTGTCCTTAATAATTGGAAACGGCTGCAACTAACATGTGCACATTAAATATACTAAACATGTAAAAATGTGAGCTCTTCAAATGGGATTGTGTCGGGTGTGGGTGGGGAGTATGTGTATAGTTCTCCATGAGCGTAGGTTAACAAGTAGGCATTTATCTTTGTCTCCCATTGTAGGTTTACCTATGGTAGGAGGGAGCCAGATGGTGTAGTGTTAGGTTCCAAGCTTCTGTCTCTTTTGCAGAATAAACAAAGTAGTGCTAATACAATAATAAAATTGGCAAGTATAAAACAGCTCTCAACACCGTAAATCTGATGGTGCTGCATCTGATTGTGGTGGATCTAGTGATACATTTCTGCGATACAGAAAACTTCTTCAAGTGTTCTCTTTCTTCCCATGTATAAAAGAACTAATGCATTTACTTTACATGCCACACGTCCTCCTGGAATCTAGTGGTCCTAAGAAAAACATTCCAACTTTGAGTTCTAGCCACCAATTTAAGAGCTCACAAGTCATGTTTTACAAAGAATGGAAAGTTCATATATGCAATACTTGTCTCCCATTTCTGTATCTCAGTAATAAGATCTTTTCAACTTTCACTTAACTTCAACTTTTAATGTTTTTTTTTTCTTTTTACACTTAGAAAAAACTTAAAACTTCAGGTTTAGTTCTAATAATGTTCAACTGACAATACCCCAATTTTACTTTTATGTTTTGCACCTAAAACTGAATGTTTACTTACTGTTAGTTGCTTGCACATTTTCCTCTAGTTTACAGAACACTCTTAATTCAGACACCAGCCAAGCACAGAGTTTGGTAAACTCAGGGGAACTGGCTCCAGCACAGACTGCCTGAGACAGAGCGCCATCTTCCAACAATGGACCCTTGTAACTGGTAAGTAAAAAATTATACTTCAGAAGAATATAAAATCACACCTAATATTTTATACAATTTATCTATGTATTATTTGTAGTTAGAGGACCAATTTCTAAACCTGCAAATACAAATAAAATTTACAGAAAATAAAATTTAAGTTTTTAATTTTAATCTAACAAAATCGATTAGAAAAATAAGCTACTTGGTAATTGCATTTCAATTCTTCAAAATACATAGGAGTATTTAATAGAATCATATACACTACTAAATTATGTCAACTTCTATCCATTCACTGAAAGCTCTTATTGTACAAAGATTTTCTTACTTTAACTTAATTGAAATTAAAACATTAAAAAGTGATAGCTCATTATACTATAGTTTACAATTTCAGAAATATAACTTAGGTTATCTTTTCTAGAAATTTTTCCAGAAATGAATTAGATAATTTTTTAATGACTTTCTTTAAAAGCAAAAACTTGTCAGTTAATCAATTATTTGCTTTTTCTATATTTAATGACAGTTAAGACTATTAAGACATACTAGTACTCAAGAAATGTCTGGATTTATTAAAACATGAATAACTGCTGGCAAGTTGATGTCTGGGCAAACTGGTGCATCTGAATCCTAACCCTTTTTAAGTGATTCAAGCATAATCTTAAAATATTATTAAATGTTCACATATTCATAAAAGACAACAGTAATAATGAACCCCAGCCTAGAATATAACTAGAACCAAAGATCCTGTCATTCTCAAAGCAATTTTAAAATATATGTTCTTCAGAAGATTATTTTATCTTTTAAGTGAAATACTGATAAAAACACTGTTATTAAAGATGAACATTAAGTATGCTTAAGATAATTTGAAGTTTGGAGGTACAGAGATGTTTGAGAAATGACAATAATTTGGTACTTTTAAAATGCACTTAAGTATTTATACACTGAATTGAATGGAAAAAAACCTTACACAAAAAGTGAGATTATATAGTCTGGCATCTAGATTCAACCCACAAATTATTAGATACTGCAATATAGAGACTAGGCCTACAAATGTCTCCTTGTGTTACACATTTAGAATTTGTTAGTTTATTCTACAAATAGTTATTGAATTTATACTGTGTGCCAGATTAAAGATAAACGATAGTCATTTAAATTGTAATAATTCTCAGTGAATCCTTTAAACGTACATGTCCATCAATTAGGCCTGAATTTTAATGACTGAATGTCATCAAACTCAGTAGTTTTGCTTAAAATTTATAGCAAAGTTTTCAGAAAATCTGATGGTTCAATCTGATGGGCTGTACATTACAACCCATCTCAAATGTTTACTTGATTACAATGATTACAGTAACAACTACTTTTTTTAGTACTCCAGAAAATACAGTGAAAAGGGTAGAACAATAATGGGAAGAAATAGCATCCATCATCAATTCTTTAGGCAACATCTACCCAAGCAGAATGACTACATTTAAATAAGGCTCTCTTCCCTCAGTCTACTACTCCTTCAATGCTAACCTTAAGTGTCATTTCTTCTAGGAAGCTTTTGGGACTTTATTTGCTTTCCAAGTGTAAAGAGACCTTCGCCCTCAGTTCTCACAGCATTTTCTCACAGTGTGAATTTCTCTTCTACCTCACTTTGGGCTAGTAAATGATCAGCCCAACACTGCCCCAGAGCCCAAGTGCTCCTTAAAAATGTTTGCTGAATGAATGGATTCATATGTGAGCAATCAATTTAGTCTGAGATGTCTGCCAAAGAGACCATTTTGCTGAATGTGACTTTTACCTATACTCTAATCAAAAGAAATAAGCCCCCTAAAGTCTGGAATATTCTGAAAATTCAGAGCAAGCTCCAAAGAGAGAGACAATGATAATTCACTGTAACAAAAAAAGATACACACCACCAATTCTTTTCCCAAAAATTTCTACCAGGACAGCAAGTTACTTAAATGGGCAGACTCTGAGAACCTCATGGTGTCCTTTCCTTTTTTTTTTTTTTTTTTAACTTTTTAAAATATTTATTTTTGAGAGAGAGAGAGAGAGAGAGAGACAGTGCGAGCAAGCGCAAGTGGGGAAAGGGCAGAGAGAGTGAGACAGAATCTGAAGCAGGCTCCAGGCTCTGAGCTGTCAGCACAGAGCCCGATGCAGGGCTTGAACTCACAGACCATGATATCATGACATAAGCCAGAGTCAGAGCTTAACCGACTAAGCCACCCAGGGGCCCCGTCGGTGGACTTTACTAAAGAAAGGTTCCCCCAAAGGTTTCCATGTCATAAACACCCTTGGGGAGAGTTTTGACAAAGGACTTGTTATTTTATAAATACAGCTAGCTAAATCTGTATTTTTTGGACACCATTTACCTGTAGACACATAATGTAACTCCACAGTTTATTTCTGGAACCACCCGTAGTCCAAAAGGTTCTCAATTCTCAAGTTTTAATAGAGTACACTGATCTCAGTGACCCAGAGAGATCAGAAGCCCTATTCCCAGCTTCTAGATACTAAATCATGGTTGGGTAACTGTAAGAAGAGACAAAATGCACAACAAACATGCAGGGGATGTGGTGGCTGAAGAGGGCTCTAAGGGTAGGCACTAATGGTGGCTTAAAGAAGTAGAGTGTCACTGTCAGGGGAAACAGCAAGTGGTTCCCATGAAGGTGGTGACAGGTTAGGTACATAAGTGAGGTGGCTAGCGGAATGGATGCAGGCATGTGGCTTAGGGAAGCCTGAGTGCATGCAGAGATGACTGGGCAAAGGAGATTTTTTTGAGAGAAAATGGGGTGGGGTAGGAGCAGGGGCTCAGGACGCGAGAGAAGTTTGGAGAACGAGTAGGAAAAAAGAGAATCAACTTTGGCAACCTCCAGAGTGAGGGGGTAGGGCAAGACGATGGGGAGCAAGAAGAGAAGCTCGGGGAGGGGGGTGGCGAAAACCTAGAGCCCAGACAATGACACGCATGACTGACAAACGCTGCGGGTAACTCGGCTGCAGGGAGCACAGGGCAGGCCTACGGTCGTCGCGTTAGGAGGGCCCCGACCCGGCAGGGCAGACAGTGGACGTGGCATTGGGGTCCCGGAGCCATATGGAGGCGACAGCCAGGAGCCACCGGGTGCGGCGTGAAAAGGCAGGTGTCCCCGACTGGGGCGGAGGAGGTGTTACCGGGGGCCGGCAGTGTGAGGTTTAGGAGACCCGTACCCTGGCAGTCTTACCCCAGATCTTCCAACGACTCCAAGATGTCAGTCTCCATGAGGTCACACTCCATGCTACTGTGGTATTCAAATTTCCGAGTCGTCAGGCTCCCCTCTTCGCCGGCAACGCGTACACTCGCGCATGCGCTGCCTCCCCGGAACTTCCAAGTCGACAGCTGGCGCCTCAACCGCTGCACTGCGCATGCCCGGAGCGTGCGCAAGAAACTCGGTCCCGCCCTCCGCCCCACCCCTGCCGGCTAAAGGGGTGCTGGGCGGCACCGTATTACACATGCGTATTAGTGAATAGCGAAGCCGGTGGCCCGAAGAAGGGCAGGAGGACTGGCTGCGTGGCAGCTGGGCGTGGGGACCTACCTCGAGGCGGAGCGCTCTAACTTCTCTTTATTGGGTGTACGCATGTGCGAATATTGGAGCGAGATGGGCGCAGGAGGAGCTTGGGGGGTGGCGTCTCAGGACTTGGTGGGTGTTGGCTGTGAAGCGGAGTCTTGGGAGCCCAGGGAGTCACCCGGGTGGATGCCCGCAGCGTGCTGGCCTGTTCTCGCCTGAGCTGTGGGGCGTGGGGAAAGGGAAAACTCTAATTCCTTAGGACAGGCGTAGACGGGCCAGTGCCGAGAACGCCAGATAGCGTGCCATTTGATTTCGCTGTGGCGGCGGTAGCTTTATTCCAGGCTTAGAGAGGCGTCAACTTTCCCTTGACAAGGAGGAATTCACAAAGTTGTTTCATTCCCCCTGTTGCGTTCTCTACCTGATTTCTTAAGCCCTTTCCAGAGCTTTTATTCCCAGGCGCCTTATTTTAAGGAGGCGGCGGGGGTGCGGGGGAAGGGCTTCACTCCGTATCAAATAGAATAGTATATATTTAAATCCACGCAATTTAAACAGCGAATAAACTTTTTTGTTGTAATATCATTGTTTTTGACATTTGGCTCCGTGTGACGTTCAGTTCACTATGGGTTATGATTCTTCGGCAGTTATTGATTGGGCATGTACGTAGAAGTTACTGATAAATGAGAAAATTGTTCTCAAAGTGACGGCATATTTAGAAAATTACACTTAAACATGTATTGGTATAATGTTGAATTGTATAGGTCTTTAAAGAGTTTCGACACTGCCAGCAAATTTTGTTTTGTAGTTCTCAACATTTTTGTGTCTAATGGATACATGCCCCTATCTTTACCCAGTTGCCCCTCTTCCCCTTATTTTGCATCATCTGGAGTGGGGGAAGGAATGAACATTTATTATGTGCCTTTGGTATGTTTGACATGGTATTTACTCCCTTGATCCATATTATTTTATGCAATCATTATAAGGTTGTGTATTACACCCGTTTTACCGATGACACTAAGACTCAGTAGCTTAATGATCCTTAAAAATAGTAAGGCCAGTAAGGATTTTGATACTGAGTCATATCTGAATTCATATTTCTCCTTATTTGACTAAATAAGGACATATATAGGATATGAAAAAATAGGAACATTTAGCTAGTAGAATTTGTTTAAGCATCTATGTGTTGTACATAGTTACCTAATTATAATGAAAATGGAATACTTGTTCTTGTAGGGTTGTTCAAGGTGCTAACTAAAAGTTATGTTTAATGCAAAATCAATTGGGGAAAAGAAAGGGTTTCATTCTTTTTTTTTTTTTTTCCTTAGGTAGTCTTCATGCCAAGCGCTGAGCCCAAGGCAGGGCTTGAATTCAGGACCCTGAGATTAAGAGTTGGAAGCTTGACCAGCTGAGCCACCCAGGCACCAAAGGGTTTCATTTTTGACTCACTGCTTGATGTAAGTTGTAACACATAATATTAGTGAGTGAGCAAATGATGACTCCCCTTAATTTCTTCTTTTCTCTAATGCAAATCATTAATTTAAATGGAGAGTAGCCAGCATAGTTTATAACAATAATTTTATAATGAACTTTGCTGCAATAAAAACAATGCTTGAACAAGTAAATATTGTCAGGGTGCCTGGGTAGCTCAGTTGGTTAAGTGAACAACGCTTGATTTTGGCTCAGTTCATGATCTCATGGTTGTGAAATCGAGTCCCAAGACAGGCTCCATGATAGGCACGGAGCCTGCTTAAGATTCTCTCTCTTCCTCTCTGACCCTCCCCGTCTCGCACTTAGGCTTTCTCCCAAAACAAAAAAGTAAATGTTGTCATAATTTCTATAAGATTTACTAGGAATCTTGTGCATTTTATTTTGAAATTGTTTGTATTTTAAACTGGGTATCTAAAGACCTTATTCAAGCTGAATTTAATAGAATGAAAAGAACACTGATCTAGGAGTTAAGGAGCCCTGGTTTTGGCCTCAGATCAGTACAAGAATGAATTTTCTAATACTTAGAGGTATCTGAAGTCCATCAAGTATCTTTGAAAAATGAGTTTTCTCAAACTTTGAGAAATGAGTTTTCTGTGTAGAAGGTACTTAGCTAGAGGCTGGATAATGACTTGTTGTGGGTGCTCTTGTGAGGAGGCATGGGGGCTATTTACCAATGCTGGTAACCTTTGATTAGACTTGTACCCAGAAAGAGTGTAAAATACTAATTAAAAACGCTCCTAGTGTCTATCCCTGAAGAGGCCTAGTTACTGTCAGTTTTCGTTTCCTGTTGCTGCTGTAACAGGTTACCACAAATTTAGTGGCTTTAAATAAGACAGATCAATTAGTTATCTTTCAGTTCTGGAGGTTGAATGTCCAAAAGGGATATTGCAGGCCTAAAATCAGGAAAGCTGCATTCCTTCTGGAGTGTCTAGGGGAAAATCTGTTTTCTTCCCCTTTTCAGCGTCTAGGAGCTGCCCTCATACCTTGGCTTATGACCTTTTTCTTTTTCGGTAATCACATCACCCCAATCTCTGCTTCCTTGATGTCATGGCAACTTCTCTGACTCTTAGTCTCCTCCCCATCTTGCACTTATAAGGACCCAGATAATCCAAAATAATCTCCCAATTTCAAAATTATTAATTTAACCACATCTACAGAGTCCCTTTTTGCATGTAAAGTGACATATGAATACATTCTGAGAATTAGAACACAGATAACTTTGGCGGGTTCATTGTGTGTACCACATTGTCTTTCCTGGAGAGTAAAAATCTTGAAGGATCTTAAAGATCAGACTTTCTAAATCTTGAAAAGAGTAAATAGAAATCATATGTAATACTTGTGACAAAAAAATACAGAGGGGAAAATTGAAATGAAAACTGATTTCAGTTTTTCAGAGGAACATCTTTTTATGTCATAATCTTAAAGATTATTATAAGGGAGGTTTTGAATTATGTAGTAGTTAAAAATTTATGCAGCTGAGATTCTTAAGAAAGTTACTTATAGAACCTATACAAGGGTAATTTGGATAATGGCAATGAAGTAGGTACAAATTTGAACACAAGGTTTGTCATTTGTCAAAGAATTGTTTCTAAGAGTTAACTAAACAGGCACTTAAAATAAGTAATTTTTCATTCTCAAATAGAAGAGTTTGAGAAATAACAGCATTTTCCAGTTTTAATGAATTTGCCTTTAGAATAACCTTGCAACAAGGAGAAAATAAGAAAGACCATAGATTTGTTCATGTTGCTTACGAAGTGAGTTGTACATGCTACTAAATACAATCCTTGTCAGCTTGCACAGTAAAACAGTGCTTTCACAGTAAAATATTAGCATCTAGGATTAACCTTGTAGGGTCTCAAATACTTTTACTTTTTTATTTTTTATATTTTATTTATTTTTTTAAAGTAGGCTCCACATTCAACATGGGGCTCAAACTCATGACCCTAAGATCAAGAGTCACATACTCCACCAACTGAGCCAGCCAGGCATCTCTCAAATACTCTAATAAAGAATGGTTGTTTTCAAATCATGCCTCTGGCTATGTTAGTATATTTTCAGTTTGTGAATAGTACATGTTAGTATACATTTCTGGCCATGTTAGTATATAGTCAGGCAATTTTTAGAGAATGTTACAAAGTTTGAGAAAAATACGTTGTCTGTGTTTAAATTGAGGAAGAGATATAGATATATGGAGGATATAGATAAAGATATAACCAGATCTTTCTGAACAAAAGCTCCAAATTTGATTTCTGTTGTCTCTCCAACGATACTTCAGCCTACTTGCCCTGTCCTGCCAGCCTGTAAATCAGGCACATGGTGAACCAGACAGATACTGGTCTCATCTGAGTGCAGTAAATAGTTTTTTTGGATTATAGCCCAGAGGTAATAAACTAGTATCCATATCAGCCTGAGTTATGTTTTGTTTTGCCCAATATTTTTGAGTCATATAATAGTTTGGAGATATTATCTAACAATCTGGATCGCTCTTTTCTTGAAAGCATAAATCAGGTGGGTGACTGGGTGGCTCAGTTGGTTAAGCATCTGACTTTGGCTCAGGTCATGGTCTTATGGTTCGTGAGTTCAAGTCCTGCATTGGTGAGCTCAAGCCCCACTTCAGGTGAGCTCAAGCCTGGCTTTGGGTGAGCACGAGCCTTGTTTTGGGTGGGCACAAACTCCACTTCAGGTGAGCCCCACTTCTCTCTCTCTGTCTCTCTCTCCCCCTCTCCCTCTCCCTTCCTCCCATCTCTGCCCCTCACTCACTTGTGCCCTCTCTCCAAGAAAAAAAAAAAAGAAAAAGAAAAAGAAAGAAAGAAAGAAAGAAAGAAAGAAAGAAAGAAAGAAAGAAAGAAAGAAAGAAAAAGAAAGAAAACATATATCAGGTAACTTGGCAGCACTGGGCTCATATTGCCCATCGAAGCAGTGATTGGCTTGGTTGAGAAGGTTGCCCCTTGTAGATGGGACGTGAATCTACCAGTTCTCTATGGTTTTTGGATCCTATCTTTCAGGCAATGTATAATATATATGTACACCCAGCAATTTACTTGCCCTCCTGTGAGTTTGTAATTTCCAATTCTTTTATTCTTTTACTTCTTAATGCTATTGATCACTTCTCCTATCCTACCTCTCATAGCCTCTGCTCCTTCCTCCTCTGCCTATTCTAGTATACGGGAGGGAAAATGTTTCCTCTACCCTCTTAGTTAATGAATGGGGCCTGTAAATTAAACTGATAAACACAGATTAGCAG